AAGAAGAAGAAGAAGAAGAAGAAGAAGAAGAAGAAGAAGAAGAAGAAGAAGAAGAAGAAGAAGAAGAAGAGGAGGAAGAAGAAGAATTGGCTGACGTTACTGACCACTGGTGGAACTGAGAACACATAGGAAGGAGAAGGAAACCATTAACCATCTGGTTCTCTATTATTAGGTTAATTTGTCACCAAATTTAGAAACTCTAAGGTTTGGAAATACTCCCACAGAAGCAGTTTTCCTTGTTTGCATGTCAGGCTTCGCTGATCAGCAGCGACACCATAGGCCCCCAGAAGTGAATAAAAGCCCCGTGCTGACCAGCACCGACCACCATCCACACTGCTGGCCACTCAACCATGAGATCCCATTCCTTCCTGTCTGTCCTCTTCCTCTTTGTGATGATGATGCCGAGAGGTAAGCTGGCAAATGCCTTCAGGAGCAGGACTTCTTAGGAGATCCACTGAGGTGCACACCTGTGCTCTGTCCTTCATAACTTAGATGTCAGGACACAGACTTGAGTATCCCAAAGTCCAACACCTTCAGAACTCATGAAGTCCAAATGCAGAAAGGAGTCGAGGACACCTATCAACATAAAATGGGGACCAAGAACACCACTCCGGAGAGGAGCGGCCCAGTTATAGAAATAGAGGAAGAGAAGCTACTTGACATAAGACTTAAGTCAATATACTTTAAAAGAAGTTGGCTACCACCAGCCAAAGGAGAGTGAAGATCAATTCATATTGCTGAGGGAATGGAGGTATACAGAGTCTATTGGTGAGAAGTGCACGTAAGTACTAGAAACAAATTAAAAAAAAAACTCAGGAGCAGAGGAATTAAGGAGAAAGTAAAGACAATGGGAAACTTCAGTGAAGGACGCAAGTAAAAATCTGGATTGCATCCCTGAGAGCCACAATTCACACGTTTGAATGTTAGAATTTGGAATCAAGTGCAAATCACACCAGCCCTCTTCTAACTATTCCATGCAGATCCTGGTGAGAGTTTATAAAATCCTTTCCCCACTACTTTTTTGGAAGAAAGGGGGCTTGCTGGGTATACCTCAGGGAGCAGAGGACTGGACAATAGTAAAGGCACTGCCTACCACCCGCAGGGTGCTCGCGTCTCTCAAACTACTGTCTGTCCTCACTGAGAGAGTCCTTCTTGGTTCATCTCTGAGATTCCTTTAAGTCAAAGGCTCCCACATGTGAATTGGAGTCTAATTTATGAACATCCTCCTTATCTACCTGGTACATAGCTGTGCTCTCACAAAGGAGATGATACAATCCTCCATTCATTCCTCCGTGGTAGTCAGAAAGCTTGGCTGCAGTGGACAGACTGGCAGGAACCTGTGATGTAAAGTATGACACTAATTATTTGAAGTTACACTAGTGGCCATGCCTTTAACATTAGATAACAGAAGTCATGCTACATGAAGACTATGATTGTGCTAAGATCATCCATGTGGATGCAACATTAAACTACGTTTCTCTTCTTCTGGGTCCTTGTTAGTTCCACCATCCACAGACATAGAAATGGCAACTTATTTCTGCTAGACTTATGCCTCAAGACCTCTTAACTGGGTGGGTATTGAGGAAACTATGGAGATTTTTCCTTTTTTGCCATGTATGACAGCACTGAAGGACCAGGGGTGCTACTAAGGATGTGAAATAAAACAGGTATGTTATTTCACTTTTACAAGGATCTAAAATAATCAAACTCAGAATAGATAACCACAATGGTGGTTATCAGACTCTGGAGGTGGGGGGAAGAAGGACCAGAGAGTTTGATATAAAAATTCAGTTAAACCGCTTGTTGAATAAGTTTTATAGATGAATTCTAAAGTTTCGAGTCTATATCTCTTAAAAATGTTAAGAGGTTAAGCCTAATGGTAAGGCTTCTTATAATAAAGAGAGGAATGAGAGGTCATTTAGGATGAGGAGAGAGCTAGCCTCCTGCAGAGTTCCCAGGGAACTCAGAGAGGCTTGCATTGCAAGTCAGGATCCCTGACCCTTCCAGAGCAAGCAAGATCAGCCTGCCTTTGCTCCTCCCAAATGGGTTACACTGTGAGGATGGAGTAAATCCAAGTCCTGCAGGTCCTCAGTGGAGGGGAGCACTTCACATGGCCAGGCCACTTGTGAACCCAGGATGTCAAGACAGGAAAAGATCAAAGAATCTTACTTTTATGGCATCTTTTTATTGTCTGAGAATTTAATGTACACCTATAATGTGCTTTGATCAAACCCACCCCCAATCCCTCTTTCCAATCTTCTATTCCCACACTTTTTTCTCTCCTGACTTCATGAGCATTGTTTTAAAACCACTGAGTCCACTTCTACTGAGGACCATAAGCAGAAGCCTCTCGTTTCTGTAACACCCATTGTCATCACCAGTGGAAGTAATGAACCTTCCTGGTGTTGGAAAGGCACTGACATGTGACCTTAGCTATGCTCTCCTCAACAGCCAAACGAACTAAGAAAACATGTGGACATACTTGAGGAAAACTTGCAGGTCTGAGAAGTCTCTCCAAGGATGTAGGCACAAACGGCGTGGACTAGCTCAATAAGCATGTTTCTTACACAGCTCTGAAGGGGGGAGATGACTTGGAAGCAGAGAATGGACTGATTTTCTTCAAAATTGGAGATGAGAGCATCTGCATCTGATGAGGATGCTGTGTGAGCATGGGACACGCCCTGCTGCTGAAACGGCTTCTAGGTAGACATATTGATGCTTCAGTCCAGGGTGACTCACTAGAAAGGAAACTGGCCAAGACATTGCTTGTCCACTGAAGTTCCAAAGACACCTTCTCCATCATGGTAACAGTAAACACTTCCATGCCCTCAAAGTGTGCTGCCAGAATGAGGACCACATCTCTGAAACCTCACAAGTTAGCATGCTCACTCCAAGGTATATCTAATCCCAAATGCTTAACCCCTTCCCCTGTTGCCAAAACAAAAAACAAAAAAAAACAAAAACAAAAAAAACACTATTTCTGTGTAAGCATTTGATCTCTGTGTAGATAATAGTGTGTCTCCCATTCCAGAGCCATTTTCTACGATTGTGGCTTTGTGCACATTTACAGTACTTTGAAAGTGAATTAACAGTGTTGTTCAATTTCTTCCTGTGCAGGAAAGGCAGGCGTTGTCCCAGGGGAAAAGCAGTGCCTTGTGTTGAAAGGGATCTGCAAAGACATAGCTTGCACATCCACAGATGATACCATTGGTGTGTGTAACGACGAGAAGAAATGCTGTAGGAGATGGTGGGTGTTTGATCCCTACCCAACACCCGTTCCCAAAGGAAAGTCTCCTTAGAGGGAAGAACGTGATAAGCTCTTCAAACTCCAGAAAACATGGACAAGCTCTGCAGACTTCTGCTCACCTACACTCACCTTCTCCCTTGCCTGGAAATAAATATCCTGAGTCCGTACTTCCTGGTTGCTGCAAGCCTTTTAAAAAATCTACCAGAAGTTAGTAAAAAGGACTGAGAGGGGGACCCCTGACTGCTTCAGAATGTACTGAGACATCTCTGTTCAATGTCCTCCTTTACTGTTTTTAAAATGGAGTTTAAGAAATTATTTAAGATTTATCATAGCAATATTTTCATTTCTAAATTTTATAATAATAATAACTAGAAGAAAATATACAAGAAAAATTTTATACCCTGAAAATATTTAAGCAAAATGATCATCCAATAAAAAGATAAAAGATTTTAAACATGTAAAATAGTGAATATGAAGTACATGTTTACTTGTCCACATTGGAATATAAACACTTTCTTTCATTTGCTTCTGAAAGCATAGCATTTTTTTTGAGCTGAGAGTGAAGCTCAGAAACAGAGCACTTGACTAGCCCTGGCTCAAAACACTAAAAATAAATATAATTTTTACTAAGCTCTACTTAGAGCTTATGAGTAAAAGTCTATCAATCGTGTAAACTTACTGACAGTGCACCTGACAGTTAGGCTATGATCCCCACTCCCTCTCCCAGACACAACTTCAAATGGCGTAATTTAAATTCTTAAAATCTAAAACAATTACATTTTTTAATGAATTAAAGAATCACAATTCTTTAATGTCTATCTCAAAAGAAAAAAAAAATCCTAAAGTACAATTCTAGAAGAAAATAACTTGAAAATTTCCTTACATCTCTTAACATAAAAGAGTAATTTATCCTTGAAATTTTAAAACATGACAGAACATTTTTTAGGCTAGAATATACAATAACACACATGGTCTTGCATAATAATAATGGTTGCACAGGTATAACAATTATGAACAAACCAGATACATCATAAATATGCCAAAGTGAGATATATAAATTCATACCACTTGATTAGTGAGTGCGTGCTCCTCTCTTTATGACAAATAAAAAAAATCAAAGCAGACACATGAAATTTATTAACAAAATCTGCTAAAAGATATGATGAATCTTCACCAAAAGCCAAACATTTTTTATCTTCCACAAGTGAAGATGTACAAAAAATGGCGTGTCTTCATTCAATGACAAAGTCTCAACATTTCTGTGCATATGCACAATACTGAAACATAAGGAAACTCTTGGACACCCTTTTATAGTCTGTACACTGCTTTGAGTACATGAAAATCTGGGCTAGTTGGTTTTTGTCAACCTGACAAAATCTAATCACATCTGGGAAGAAGAATCTGACTGAGAAAATACCTCTGTAAAACTGGCCTGTGGACAAGCCTGTGGGCATTTCCTTGATTAGTGATTGAGGTGGGAGGGTCCAGATCATGTGGATGGTGCCACTCCTGGAATGGGGTCCTAAGTTAAATAAGAAGGCAGGCTGAGTAAGCCTGTAAGTAGTGTTCCTCCATTGCTTCTGCTCCAGTTCCTGCCCTGAGTGCCTACCCTAGCTTCCCTCAGACTACAAGCTGTAAGCTGAAATAAACCCTTCTTCTCCAGGTTGCTTTTAGGGATGGTGTTAGCTAAGTTAACTAAGACAAAAATCCATTCCTCTTGTTTCCAGATATGGACCCAAATTTGACAAAAATCATCCTATTGACCCAATAGCATCTTTTAGTTATGTCTTCTTACCTTTTGGGTCATGTGATTGTTTCTAAGTAGACAACTTTCTGGCTTCTTCAGGCAAAAAGAGCTTTGCTTCACTGAAGTCTCTTATAGTCTCACCAGCTGGAGGGATACCAATACAGGCAGAGAGGTTGTTGTTGTGTGTGTGTGTGCATGTGTGTGTGCTATGTACTATAGTGGGTGGGGCCTGCAGAGGCAAAAAGAGGGCATCAGATTCCCTAAAGCTGAAGTTAAATTAGTTGTGAGCTGCCTGACGTGGGTCCTGGGAACCAAACTTGAGTTTTTGGTAGAGGAACAGCAAGAGGTTTGAGCCACTGAGCTGCTCTCCAACTCCTCCTTACCAGATGTCTAGAGAGAAATTAAAATCTGAAACCAACACTCAACAAATCTCTCTAAAGACGATCTAAAGCCCAAAGACATCAAAACCCAAATGAATTAATGCCTGGAATGAAATCATCTTTCCCACACTGGAATCCAAAGTTTTTTGATTAAATAACTGAGAACTTGAGTATTAGTTTTTGATTCTTCGTCACAAAGGTCCTTCAGTGAGTTGAGAAGCTTTAGTTCATTCAGTATGGAGTCTCCTGTGGTCTTCACATTTCATCAGAGCATAGGGAATGGAAACTGAGAAACCGAGAAAGCCCAGGAGATGACTCATGTCGTTAAAGTGTCCACCACACTAACACAAAGACCTTAGATTAGATCCCAAAGCCCTGTTTAAAAGCCTAGCATTGAGCCATGTGAACGTAAACCCAGTCTTGGGATAGGAGGCAAACAGGTGTATCCTTGAAGCTCATTGGCTACATCCTAGTCAAACTGATATGCTTCAGTCTCAGTGAGAGATATTCTCAAAACATAGCTGTGGAGGGAGGGGAATCAAGACAAGAGCTCCACCCACGCATGCGCACACACAACAGCCCAACACACACACACACACACACACACACACACAATAATATTAACTATTTTTTTTATTTGAGACATTATCTTTATTCTATATTCTTAATATACAATGCATAAAGTTTTGCTACCTGCTTGAATGCAGATATTGCCTTCAAGTAAATTGGCATATGCTTTACAGATCTTTGATCCCTCATTTACAATCTTATTATAAAATACAATATTATGGTTTAGTGTGGTTCTTTGGCTGCAAATTGCACCTCTATGATGATTTATATGTTACCAATACAGATTTGCATCCTGTGTACTTTATTTTCGTCTCTCCCATGTCTGTTAAGCGCCTCTATACTCTTTAAATTTTACTCTTTTAGATTTCTCAAGTCCTTGAGTTCCTGCAGCATTTTCTCTCTGTGTATGTTTGTGTGTGTGTGTGTGTATTGTTGAACTATTACAATTTTCTCCACTAGCTGTTAAAGCAACTAGTTTACACCTTGATATGGATGTATACAAGTTTAGACACAAATCTCTAAGGCTATCGAATTATTTATCTGTTGTTTCACAAAGTTAGTCAGCCTATTTAAGGCCCAGGGACCAAAAGAAATAAGCAAAAATAACCCAATTAATGGTCCCAAGATGGGAGGGAGTAGGGTTGACAACCACGGAGAGGTTGAAGACCAATTCTTGTACCAGCACTCATCTTTCTCTTTCTCTCTCTGTCTTTTCTCAGAGCCTTCTCTCACCTTTTTCATGTTCTCTTTAACCATCCCTGCCTTGTCTATGTAAAGGCAATATTTTTCTTTAAGGGTTGTACACAGTCAAGAGTTGTACACACTCTTTTCTATTGTAAAAGTGTAAATCAAGTCCAATAAAGTCCTTTGCAAGTTTTGGAGATCACTTCAGACAGCGAAACAAGGGATTTCTTCAGATTAGTGATGTCAATCTCTAACTGTTTGATGTTCTTGTCAACAGCCCATCGAAGGTCTGAGTAGTGGAAGTCCGGAGGCCATCATCAGGATTAGAACTTCTTTTTTTTTTTATGCTTATACATGTAAACAAGATTTTTATTGTTCACATTGATTACCACAGATGCGAGAACATTGATGCACTGAGGAGAGGACACGGCTAACAACATCACACAGTGCTACTGACTCAGACTCATCTGTGAGCCAGGGAATCAGTTTGGGGTTTTTTGCTGTTGTTGTTGCTTCATTGTAGTGAATATATATATATATATATATATATATATATATATATATACCCATATAAAACTTTTCATTCAGAATCTCACAATGATTTCATCAGAAAAAGAAACAGATGCTTTGAAGTCAACATCTGGATAACTGGTAGGTGTTCTGATTCACCAGAAGTAAACATTACAAACTTTCAAATACATCTTAGCAGTGTACAAATATATATTATATATTACGACAAACATTGATTTGGCTCAATAGCGTTCCCAGTGAAAGGCTTTTGGTTTTTAAGTTTAAAAAACATCCCTAGTAAAGTGGTCAGCGGAATTTGATAACCTTACCTCTGAAGCAACGTGTCTTCCAAGGAGCTCCAGAGCTCTGCTGTTCTTCGCCCTCAGGGTCTTCTCGACTCTCAGCTCATTCTTGATGGCACCCAGCTCCAAGCAGATCTTTTCCATCTCCTGCTCGTAAAACAACTTCATTTCTTCTCTGAGGAGCGCAGCATTTAGTTCAGTTTGATGCTTCAGTTTCCTGACAGCGTCTTTCAAGTTTCTGTTCTCTAGATTCAACTTGTACATTACTTCTTTGGCTTGCTGGAGCTCTTCAGTTAAGTTTTTTACGTTTGTCGCTTTTTCAGACAGGTCGTTTTTTAAAGCTTGCAGTTCGCGGTCTTTCTTGGAAGCAGCGGTCCCTGGTTCTTGAAAATTGACAGCTTTCATTGAGGCTTCCTTTCTAGAATTCAAAAGGCCTTTTTCGGCGTTTTCAAAGTCCTGTTCTATCTCCCGGCACTTCAGGCTAAGTTCTCTCAGCTCTTCATTCAGAAGGTGCAGGCGGAGTTTTGGAGGTATTGCTTCTGTCCATTTCTTCCTGGTGGCTTGTGTGGTAGCCGGCAATTCCTTCTTACTCCACGCAGAGGCGCTCTCTCTCCCTTCTGTGAGACTTTCCTTCCTTGCATCATCCAAATTAAGCAAGTCCCAGAAGGCAGAATTGGTATTTGCTTCATTCTTTGACACGTTCATCCTTCTCTCTCTTAAATTTGGATCTTGTTCTCTTTCCGCTATCTGGGAAGAATTTTCTTTCCTCTTAAATTTATTTCCTTCTTGAATGTTCCTAATGGAAAAGTTAAAAATTCTCCCCATCTTCTTGGGTTTGTCTGCAGATGGCTATTCAGAGAAAGACTGGGGTGGAGCAGCCTCTTCCTGAAAATCGTGCTCATTTTAAAAAGGAGTGAACGTATTGTCTTTCCAGTGCTTTCTTCTAGCATCCAT